TGTTACCTGACTGGAACTCATTTCACCATTATTACCGACCACCGACCATTGGTGTATCTTTTAACCATAAAAGATGCCAGTTTGAGGCTTGCCAAATGGGCAATATTCTTGATGGAATATAGTTTTAATATCAAATACCGCCCGGGAAAGAGAAATGGAAACGCTGACGCATTAACCAGGCTAAGAGAGGTAGAACTAGAGGAGACATCTACAGAGGCAACTTGTAGTCCATTAGCTGCAATAGCTTTGGTAACTCAGGAAGAAGAGCAGGAGTATAGCCCAATGTTATCGACTATTTGGACGAAAGAGGAACTAAGTAAATTGCAGAGAGCAGACCCTATCATTTCGCAAATAATACCACAAGTATTGGACGACGATAACCAATTTTATCTATGCCCAGATAATATCCTTTACGTTAAGAGAAAAGAAGGGGACCGCAATGACAAATTGTATGCACCTAAAGCCATGGTGAAGGAAATTCTACAAATATACCATGACTCCCCTATGTCTGGTCATGCAGGACAAAAGAAAACCCTAGATGCAATACACCAGGATTTCTTCTGGAGAGGGATGAGACAAGATGTTATAAAATATTGCAATGCATGCCATTCTTGCAATTTACGGAAAACCAATTACCAACCTCCCGCAGAACTACAGAAACTACCAGTTCCATACGCTACGTTTGGGCGTATTTCTATGGATTTAGTTGGACCTCTCAACCAAACCAAAGATGGAAATAAATATATCCTCACTGTCATGGATTACCTAACAAGATACCCAGAATGTATTCCGCTTCCAAATATAACAGCAGATACGGTAGCTAGAGCTTTCGTAACAAACATCATCACAAAATATGGCACACCTCGACAATTACTAACGGATTGCGGTCAGCAGTTTGTCTCAAAATTATTTAAAGAGATATGCAAAATTTTGGAAATCAAGAAACTTCAAACTACTCCATATCACCCTCAATCAAACGGAATGATAGAACGAATGCACCGATCTCTATAAACCACTTTATCGCATTATGTGACCGAAGACAATGATTCGTGGGACAGATGGTTACCATTCGCCACCATGGCATATCGCAATCACGTGCACGAATCAACTCAAGAAACTCCATTTTTCTTGATGTACGGTAGAGATATGGAAATGCCATTACATTTAATAACTAAACATGCACAGGTTCGTTATGACTTAGATGACAATTATGCAACAGAAATGGTTCAGAGAATGCAAATAGCGCATGAAGTGGCTCGATCAAATCTGAATAAACAAGCCGAAAAACAGGTGCAAAAATATAACCGAAAAGCCAAACCGACATCACTTAACTTAGGAGATCGTGTATGTCTTTACTCGCCCGCCGTCAAGGCCGGACGTCATTTAGCTCATAAATTTTATCCCAAGTACTCAGGACCGTACCGAATAATTGAAGTGTTAGGACCAGTAACCTATCGTATTAAAGAAATCAATGGAAGAAAAGATCAAGTGGTACATGCCAACCGACTAAAAAGATATCATCGGGGATTGGAAGATATGGATGAGGAAGAAAATGATCGAACAATTCCTAAACATCTGGTAGAAAGAACCCCTCAACCAGTTATTGATACTAATCCAAGTAAAATCATAAGATTACCGTAAGAACAAACAGATCAAGAGAATTCTGAGCATCTTAACACATACAACGAAGAATTAAATCCTGAGGATCACGAAAACATAGAAGAACACGATAATGACGAACCACTTGAAATATCAACCACTGATGTTTCAGAAGAAGAGGAAGAAGAGGATAACGAAGAGGAGGCAGAAGGAGAAGAAGAAGATAATTCTGAAAATGAAAGAAAGAATGAGGAAGTGAATGAAGAAAACTGTGAGGAAGACGTGGAGCAAAACAAAACACAGGACAATATGAATACTCAAGTATCGCAGTCTAGATATAATACTAGGTCACAAGGGCAGGCAGAGGACCATGATTGGATTCTCAAAAGGGCCATTTAACAACAGCAGGGCGATCCAACTCCCCACCACCACCCTATGAGCACGAAAACATCGCCCCAGGTGTTGGGCCTATGATACCTCAAAGGCCACCCCTGAACCGTTCTGTGCCATACCCGGCACCTAACCCAGGACAGCGAGAGGACCATCCATTGAACCAGCCTGGATCTACCCAAGAAGCCCAGGGGTCAAACACCCCGACCGAGCGATGGGTTTATCAAATGGGACGTAACCTGAAGGTTACCATTAAACGTCAACTGAGTGAGTGATTTGATTTTATAGATATAGGTTTCGTTAGACTATACTCGCATGTAATTATCTTTATTTTATAATTTACCAGAGTAGAGATAAGTATAGATATTGGAAATTGTCTAAAATTTTCGTAGGTAGTAGTATAGTGTGAAAAAAAATGCAATAATTTTAATTTATAATAGAAACCTAGTTATATTATTCAGGTATAGGAATTTTGCATGAACGACTCTATATATTTATCGTAAGAGAGGTCTGCAGGTACCTACCAAAGATCATTCAAATATCTCATTCATTTTATTTGTTGATACTATAATTTACTGGGTCACAACTTTATATAAACAATTTCGAGGATTTTGTAAGATGCTCTTGATGTTTCATGGGTGAAGTTCACGTAATAATGAAAGAAATGATGGAAATGAAAAGAAATACAGATCATGATCTATATATAGCAATGAAATTCATATGTTAAAATATGGAATTTCGTCTACGAGGGATGGATCGAATGTAATGAACGCGAAGACTCGACCATAAATATCATAACGAATACTAATGCTATACACTTTACACTTATAGGAAGTAGAAGGTCGTTTTAATTAGGTCAATGAATATTTAGGTATCTGAACTCGAATGCATTCAATAAGTATTAGAAGGATAGATTGATAGAGCAATATTATTACGTGAATTAACTCTTGTTGGAAATATGCATATTTGTTTCAAATCCCAAGAAATGCATATATGTAATAGGTTTATTATTAGGTACTTCACCTTTGTAACATTGTTGATAGTGGCACTTGGGGAATCGAACAGGAACAGCAAAAAGATGTGAATAAAAGTTAGAAAAGAGTGTACAGGGAATTTAAAACCTAAGTAACTGAGCCACAGCAGAGGGGCGGGCCAAAGATAGGTAGAGGCCAGATGAATTATAACAAAAATCAATTAGTTTAAAATCTTTTCAGATGAACATTGAAATCCTTTTTCTGTACTTAATTTTAAGTAATACCCAAGGTCAACTGACATCGATTTTTGCAAAATGATTAATGATAAAATTTCATTAAATTAAAAACTATTTCTGAAAACATCCGAAGCCACTCTTTTTGCATTTTAATTCAAGGTCAATTCAACTAAGCGAAAATCTTATGAATTCTGATTAAATTTATGACCAAATCTCAGTATAAAAGCAGGGAGTTTTGGCATAAAAGTCAGTCTTGATCGAACTCTTGATACGAAGTCTCATGTCTTGAACCAGTAACTCTGCTAAACAGTCTAGTTATACGTGATATGTAGTTGATATTAGAAATTGCTTAAAAGTCTGTACCTAGTGAACATATTTTGTTGCTGCAATAGATGTGTATCGAGAATTATTGAACTTTCATAAAACTGTATTAACTTTTCAAAGTGACCCGGTATAATAGTGCGAGTGTACATCATCCTGTCATCATGTATAACCAACCAATATTATGTAAGCACATCTGTTTTACTTCCATGTCAACTCTGCCTGTCCATATTATGATGATTGCTGAATAGAGATTTATGTACTTTGAACTGCCGTATTAATGTCTATATACACCAATCTTACTCCTGCCTAAGTATTCACGAACCCAGTGAATCAGTAACTTTGTGAAGACCCCTGTATAGGCCAACCCAAGAAAAGGGGTGCTTTACAGAGCTTACACTTTTTGAAAATAAAAACGTTACACTATATTCGCCTTGTATATGAATATTATGATATTATAACTCAGTTGTTCTACTTAACATTGTCTACACTATTGCAACATTTGCTTATTTCACAGTTTCAATGTAACAACGACCTGTTGCAGGAAACCATGTTGCTATTTGTTTCTATCTTCACTTTATATATTTCTCTTTTTGTCTTTTGATGGCGTGATGCACTATGACTGTCACGTGACTTGAATGTTCTTTGAAGAAACTTTACGAAGCCACGCGCAGGCAGTTGCAGTCAGATATTCATTCTGAATTTTACCTTTTGTCAACTCAACCAATGTACTAATTCCGCCAATGAAATCACCAATGATTAAATCTAGTCGATAAGTATCCAGTGTTTTGCTCTACAACTTACGACCACCCCTTTCCCAGCCTGACCGCAGATTTTTTCGAGATTTTTCGAAAACCGCTCATGTCATTTCGTTGATTTTTGATTTGAACAAATTGATTAATGATGATTTTCCATTTGAAAAAAATGTGAAGTGAAGTGGTTTCTGAGAAGTATTATAAAACATTATTTTTACACGGATATAACACAAATTGGCTCTTGTTGTACTGTGTTCGATAAATCAATATTTATTTATCGAATTTTCTATATCATAAATTCCATTTTCGAATCTGATTCACAATAACTTCATTTCGTGACAAACAATGCTGCCGTCTTAGGGCTGAAGGAGCCACTTTGAGCATAGGTTATAGTCTTGTTCAATTAGTCTATTTTCAATCTAGAAACACCTTGTTGTTGAGTGAAGTTTATTTCAATACTCCATCAGTTTTTTTCAAAATATCTATTCCAGAAACGAACAAAAATCAAACTACGAATAATTAAACAGTCTAGTTATCGAACTATAGGAACATATGAGATCAATATGTTGAATGCTTCAGTCATGATAGGATACAAAAGAAATTATGGAAAAAATGAAAAGAAGAGTCATCCTAGAAGACATTCTCACAATTTTAACAATATTAACAAGGTTTCGAACATTTAAAACAACAAAGAATAAAAAAAATACAGGAAAGAAACAAAAAATCTATCTTTTCTTGTTATTTTGATTTAGTCGTGTTGCTGAATGTTTTATCCATTCTTTCACAGCCCACGCAACTTGCAAATCATTTTTCTCGTTAGCAGGAAAGTTCAGCTTCGCCGCTTCTGAAATTTAATTTCTCAATTTCGATAACAATAGCGAGTATTTTCTTATTCACCTAGAATAATGTCCATGGTTGTGGTCTTTTCAAAACCTATTTTGTTGTAGCGACCTTTCCAATTGAACAGAATTCCTAACTGGTTTGCCATCAAATACTTCATAATCCTCCGTGTCACCCCTTCAATTCCTGATCCACCCAAGGCCGCCAACCTCCGTACCTGTTGAAATGCACAAATAATTATTATATTTCAAATTTAGCGAAACTTTCAGTGAATGTGCACGAATGCAAGTTACCCTAAGAGAAGCAACACACAAGTGCGTTTTGAGATGTAATTTGTATCAGTGAATTAGTTTGTTGAATATTTCGACTAATTTGATGCACAAATCATAAACATAAGAGGAACTTATCAGAATAGGTACTATGAAAAAATATCATTCATGATTCATATCCATAATATCAGCCGATTAACGATTTCAATATAATGGCAACGTCTCAGCTATTGTAAACACGATTTTCGACAGCTCCCGTTTTGAGTGAAATTTTCGGTAGTTAAACTGCATTTTAAAATCAGAATATTATTCATCTAAGTGAACTTAGATCGACAAAGTGAATTATTTACTTCAAAAACAATCAAAAGCGTACCAGCCATCAAAAGCATAGCCATGTCAAAGGCCTCAGAAAAAACCTTACGAAGCCATACCACTTCAGTTTCAAAAAATGACAATCTGGACCTGAAAGCAAAAAGTCTAATCGATAGTGAGTACACGAATAAACACGTAGAAAACATCATGGAAAGAATGTGCGAAAAATTCATGGCATCTTTAGATACTAAAATGTACACTAAATTTGAAAAATTCAATAAGGATATCTCAATGATTACTGCCAATTTGAGAAGAATTGAGAAGAAAGTACATGATAATGAGAAAGATATACACTCCCTACGCAATACTGTTGACCAACTAGAAAGGAACAATTCCTTACGAGTAAACGGATTACCCGAAAATGATAAGGAGAATATCTCAGAGGTAATATTGAAATTCATAAGAAACACCCTTGAAGTATCATGTAAATCGGACGATATAAGCGATGTATTCAGAATTGGGAAACCACATCCGAAAACAGGCTCAAGGACAATTCAGGTGAAGTTTGTAGCAACTTTGAAGCGGAATGAGGTTTATCTCGCGAAAATAAAGGGATAACCATACATGAAGATCTGTCAAAAGAACGATACGAGCTCTACCAGTTGGCCCAGAAGAAATATGGTCACAAACAAGTATGGACCATGGGAGGTAAAGTGTTTTTACAAAACAATAATAATCTTCTGTAGTAGTCCATGCTCAAAGTGGAGTGGAATGATCAATAGAGAAAATACCCAAAGTCGTCTCCACAATTTTTAATGTATAATCAGGCAGTCAATCCTGCTTTATTGAGGTTGATACATGTTTCGGCCAGTCAAATGGCCATCTTCAGTCAAAAGAATATAACAAAGTGTATCTACAATAGAAAACCAAACATGATTTTATATATAAGAAAAATTGAAAATGGAAGACAACAGTTGTAAATTCAAATTGAATTGATTATCAAATTTCAGTTAAAAAAATCACTGTTGCTCTTTGATCTAATTGAAATTTGTTAATCAATTCAATTTGAATTTACAACTGTTGTCTTCCATTTTCAATTTTTCTTATATATAAAATCATGTTTGGTTTTCTATTGTAGATACACTTTGTTATATTCTTTTGACTGAAGATGGCCATTTGAATGGCCGAAACATGTATCAACCTTAATGAAGCAGGATTGACTGCCTGATTATACATTAAAAATTGTGGAGACGACTTTGGGTTATTTCTCTATTAAAACAATAATACCAAAAAAGAAGTGTGCAGCGCTGGGGACCTGTAACTTACCAACGAAGGTTTCGATCGAAATAGACTTTTTGTTAAACTTTTGTTGAAGCTTCTTTTTATTATTCTTCCACACATTACTCGATCAATAATTGTTAAATATTCATTCACTTGCAGACATGAATGAATCATAATATATTAATCAGGACTAATAGTTTCCTTGATATCACAATCGGGACTGTCTATCGTTTTACATATAGATAAGCATCCCAATTTTTACTTGATTCATATTCTTTTAATTTTTTTCTATTCATCTTCTTTTCGTTCTTTATTTTTTTTATCATAAACAGTGTATAAGATTTAGCGTTTAAAATGTTATTAAACCTTCTTTATCAAAACTGTAGAGGGCTTCGTACCAAGACAACAGAATTCAAAAACAACTTGCTTACAGAATCATATGATTTCATTGTATTGACAGAAACTTGGCTGACAGGGGATATTAACGATGGTGAGCTCTTCGATAAAAATTATAGAGTTTACAGGAAAGATAGAGATATTCATTCAACAAACAAGAAAAGAGGTGGAGGAGTTTTGATAGCAGTGAGAAATAGGTTTAATTCTTCTCTTATAGTGACACACACCACGTTAGAAACTCTTTTTGTAAAGGTGAACATTCTGGGTAATGAAATTATACTGAACTCAACCTATATTCTCCCAGGATCAGAATCAGATGTGTATAACGATTTTAAAGATGTATGTGACAGTCTGACAATTGATACCAATACTTTTCTCATAATTGTAGGGGATCATAATATTCCAGAAATAAATGGCATCTCATTCAAATTCGACAATCGTAATGAAATCATAAGTACAATGTCAGAAATGATCGACTCACACAGTCTGAAAACATACAACAACGTATTAAATGGGAACAATAGGACGTTGGATCTGGTTTTAAGTAATTTTGAAATAAATGTATAAGAAGATTTATCACCGTTAGTTAAAATAGATGGAAAACATCATCCAGCACTACTGGTGGAATTTCAAATTGAAAAAAACAATTATTATACGCAATCTATCAAAAACCTGAGAAACAAATACAATTTCAAGAAGGCTAACTTTGCACAACTTTATGAGCTACTCAGAGATCACGACTGGTCGGCGCTTAATACATTTCATGATGTCAATGACTGTGTAGAATACTTTTATGAAGTTTTTCGCAATGTTCTCGATATTTCAGTACCTAAGTTTCCTGAGAATCCAAAACACTGCAAAACTTACCCACCTTGGTTCACAGCAGAAATCAAAGCTGATCTCAAAATCAAAGAATATTACATGAAGAGGGAAAATGAATCACAACATTACCATGATAACTTCAAAAGAATAAGAGCCTCATCAAAAATTAAAATCGAAGAAGCATATACAAAATATATCGAAAATATTCAAACCAACGTTTAACATGATAGTACACTTTTCTGGACTTTCATAAAGAATAGACAGCAAATAAGTAACAACGAAAATGAGTTTATAATCAATGATCGAGAAATATCAGATAGTAAAATCATATCGGCTGAATTTGCAGATTATTTCTGCTCTGTATATGAGAGCGACTCCACATACAATTTGAATGATATTGATAAAATAACTGGTCAATGAACATTCTGATACAATCTCCTGTGGCGACTCGAGCAAGCATTTCAAAAATTGAAACCAAAAAGGTCATCTGGGCCTGACAATATCCCATGTTATATTTTCAAAGCATGCAAAGACCTGTTGTTATACCCACTCTTGATTATATATAACAAATCATTGAAAAATGGTGTATTCTCAAGACAATTAAAACAAACTCGAATAACGCCGATATTGAAGAAATGCCCAATTGCTGTACAGGGTATCCCACATAACATGGGCCACCCCCTTATCTGGTAAACTATTATATATACAGAAAAAAGTTCAGAATAAAAGTTGTATTACTTCTTATGAAATTTATTTTTTAGATACTTTCATTAATACAGGATGGTCCATATGTCTGTGACATATCACAAATACGTTTTTTCAAATGGAACACCCTATATTTTATCATATTCTTAGATAGTACTTCAGAAGACGAGTTCAATGATATATAATAACATGGGTCTGAGATCACCCGTTTCGGATTTATACACGATCTTCTTCAATAAATTGTCTAATTTCAAAGCCCTATAGAAACGTTGCGAATGAAGTTTTCGATTCGCAGTTTCCGCTATAAATTAACAAAGTCTGTATATTATTCTGTTCTATGGTGAAAATTTAGGAATTTTCAATTTGCCAAAAGTGATTAAGTATTTTGAAAACCAATAAATATCTCGAGATTTTCAAATGGAACACCCTATATTCCATTCCAAATTTGCATAGAGCTCAGGAAGACGAGTTCAATGGTATATCATAACATGTGTCTGATATCACCCGTTTCGGACTTATACACGATCTTCTTCAATAAATTGCCCAATTTCAAAGCCCTATAGGAACGTTGTGAATGAAGTTTTCGATTCGCAGTTCCCGCTATAAATTAACAAATTTTGTATGTTTTCTTGATCCATGGTAAAACTTTATGAATTTCACATTGGCCAAAAGTGATGATGTATTTTGCAAAACGATAATTTTTTACAAATTTTCGAATGGAACACCACCCTATTTCATTCCATCTTTGGATGAAGCTCAGAATGACGAGTTCAATGATATATTCAAATATTGGTCTGAGATCACCCGTTTCGGACTCATACACGATCTTCTTGAAAAAATAATCAAATTTCAATGGCAAAATTCTGACTGTTATTTTCATATTAGATAAAAAATTTGTAATTTCTGTGAAACAATTCGTAATAAAGACTTTTGAAAACAAGGAATATTATCGAAATTTTTATGTAATGTTATACTATTATTTCACTGGAAAACCTTTTGGAAATGATTGAGCACAGGTTATCACAATTAAATTTCACCAACATTTGACTCAATACGAGACCAATGCGGGAATATTCAATTAATAAAATGTATTTGAAAATTTTTTCTGATTGTCTGCCTTATCAATTCGGATGCATTCATTGCAATAAATGTCATTTCCTCTATCCTCATAAAAATCGTATATCTTTCATACTGTTCAACATTTTTCATTGAATTCTCAATAATGAATAAACACTGGACATAAGTAAATTATCGAAGAGAAAACCAAAACTCAAAGTGGAATGACATGCCAACGTGAGCTGAGTAGGCTGAGCACTCATAGATGGGATTTTTGTTTATGTCATATCAATAACTGTCAAACCCGATTATTTATTGTTGAATTGGTGAAGAGAAACTCTTTCAAAATGCATATTTATTCTAAAGAAGAGAGATTTGATCTTTATGAGTGCTATTTATTAAAAAACAGAAATACTGTGCTGGCTTTCAGAGAATATCGTGACCGTTTTTCACAACGTGTCGTAACAAACAAAAAAATATTTCAGAGAATAGTGAACGATATCCGAACAAAAGGTTTTCTCAAACCGAATAAGAGAACTAGAGGAAATGTAGTTTTGACCGAAGATCGTGTATAAGTCCGAAACGGGTGATGTCAGACCCATGTTATTATAGATCATTGAACTCGTCTTTCTGAGTTCTATGCAAATATGGAATAAAATATAGGGTGTTCCATTTGAAAATCTCGAGATAATTATTGGTTTTCAAAATACGTCATCACTTTTGGCAAATTCAAAATTCCTAAATTTTCACCACAGAACATGATAATATACAGACTTTTTTAATTTATAGCAAAAGTTGCGAATCGAAAACTTCATTCACAACGTTTCTATAGGGCTTTGAAATTTGACAATTTATTGAAGAAGATCGTGTATAAATCCGAAACGGGTGATCTCAGACCCATGTTATTATATATCATTGAACTCGTCTTCTGAAGGACTATCTAAAAATATGATAAAATATAGGGTGTTCCATTTGAAAAAAACGTATTTGTGATATGTCACAGACATATGGATCATCCTGTATAAATGAAAGTATCTAAAAAATAAATTTCATAAGAAGTAATACAACTTTTATACTGAACTTTTTTCTGTATATATAATAGTTTACCAGATAAGGGGGTGGCCCAAGTTATGTGGGATACCCTGACTTAATTGTATTGCAAAAATCTTTGAGTTCATTATCCATGAGAAACTACATAATTCCTTCAAATCATATGTAGCATTTGAGCAACATGGGTTCACGAAGAAGAAATCTATAGAGACCAATTCATTAACGTTCTGTACTAAAATATCTGAAAGTATTGATTCTAAAACACAAGTAGATTGCATTTACACAGATTTTGCAAAGTTAATCATGACATATTGCTAGCTAAACTGAAATTCTATGGATTAAGTAATCACTTATTAATTTTTTTATATCATACCTGAAATAAAGGAGTCAACATGTTATCCACAAAAGTGAAGAAGCCCAGCCTTTTTTGGCAGGCTCAGGTGTACCACAAGGCTCGAACTTGGGGCCACTACTCTTCACAATCTTCATCAATGATTTTCCAAACGTGGTGTCATCGGACTATTTATTATATGCAGATGACTTCAAAATGTACAGCAAAATTTAAGACCTCAATGATTATTTAGAACTTCAAAACGACATCGATAATATTTCGACATGGTCCGTGGAAAATAAACTCGTATTCAACTTATCTAAATGCAAAGTTATCACTGATAGTACAAATCAAAGTAGACATAATTTTATCTATACAATGCAAAACACTTTTCTTGAACGAATTGAAGAAATATGTGATCTAGGCGTTATATTTCAAAGCGACTTGAAGTTTACTAGACACATTCAAAATATGGCAAAGGAAACTAACAAGCTGATTGGTTTTTCAAAACGTAGTACACAATCTTTCACTTTCAGATGCAACTATCACAAAACATCTGTTTGTTACAATTGTGCGCAGCAAAATAGAATATGCTTGTTTGATATGGGATCCTGGACAAAAAAACATGAAACAAATAATAGCAACTATACAAAATAAATTCCTGAAATACCTTCCTATAAAAAATACAGAGTTTCACCGAACTTACGTCATATAGTCATATCAGAGAGGAATTCAGCCTAGAAACCCTTGAACGCCGAAGAATCCTCATCAGCTTGTTATTCCTAGGTAAACTATTGAATAGTCAAGTTGACAGTAACATTTTACTTAATAGAGTATCTCTATATGTACCGCCTCCAGGAGTTCGACCACGACAGGTATCATTTCATGTAAATAGAAACAGTACCTCTATCAAGAGAATATGTAGTCTATATAATCAATACTCACATACGATAAGGTATGGCATTTTCGATATCTCAACTAATACACTCAAGGTACGTTTGAAGAATATTATGAGTTCATGGAATTAATCGCGTCTGGTACGAATTCCTTTCTATACAGTTATTACTTTACATACAGATATCGTCGATTTAAATAAAATCATACACTGTTATCACTATCACTATTAGTATTAAGTTTGTATTGGTATAATCATTATTTTTTAGTATTATCATTATCATTACTTATGTATGTTGCACTTGAGATAAGTACTCTGAAATGTTGAGAAACATGTAATTAGGCTTTGCCTGTTTGTTTCTACTAATAAATAAATAATAAATGCCTGAAAGCATCAATGCACTGACAGATAGATGAACAGTCAACTCACCATAAATTGATTGATTATTGGGTCCTCTTTTGCTAGGTGTTCAAACTTAACAAATTCCTCGTACGTTTTCAATGGAAAATGTGGTAAGTTTTCTGGTGCAATCAACTTCTCTAATGCAATTTTTTTGTTATTCCTCAAAATTTCTTGCATAGTTAATGAAATTTGTTCGTTGGTTGTTTGCAGTTTTGCGATTGATGTTAAAACGGTCTCTTGAAAACCTGCAACAATAATGAAGTTGAAAGTTTCGAAGAAGTACCTTTTTTCTGCAACCGACACAAAAGTCGTCCATTTTGATACCAAAATCAGCTCTTAAATTGACGTTTCTATTACTGACACAAAAATAGGTATGTTGCTTGGCAACATATTTAGTTCCTAGGAGCTAAAGTTGAATTTTAGTTCCTAGGAGCTAAAGTTGAACTTTAGCTCCTAGGAACTAAAAAGGATCTACTGGAAGTCATCAAGAATTAACAACATTGTGACGGTTGGTTATTTGGGTTGAGACGCATACCTGATTTGTTTCCGATTTCAGCAGATTTGGCATTTCATACCCATGCTGGAGATATAAATACATCTTATTATAGTTTAGTATTGAAATTATAAACATCTCATCAGTTAAGTATTTTTGTTCTGATCAGGGAAGCCTTCAGGATTCAAATACTTGCGTGATCTGTATTTCATTCGTTCTCCGGATGGATGACTTGTTTTTGAATAATCACGGCAAGCAATAGTTTTTTTGTCTCAAACAACGATATTATTTAGCTTCAGTTGATTATCAAGTCAAACACAGTGTAGTATGGAGAGGAATAAATAATCACTATTATCATTGTTGATATGCTCACTAACCTAACATTTTCCACGTCTTGTTCCTACATGTCACTCTGTGGTTGTATTTATATTGAAACTACAATTAGAACATCCTAGAAAACATAACCTGCTCAACCTGCTGTTAATGCAGGTAGAATATTCTCACCACATGGATTATTTGTCACTATTTGTTGCATTGCATATATATGGCACGGCATTGGTGGTTACTTCACATGTTTATTTGAGTTAATTATTTCGGTTGCAGAAAAAATAGCATGTTTCATTCGGATCAAAAGTGACTTTGTTCGACTCGCAAACTTTGCTTCCGCTCGGCTTCGCTAAACGCTCCGCCTCGCAAATGCAAAATTCGCTTGTCAAACAAAGTGTCACTTTTGATCCTAATAAAACAATCTATTATTGTGGATAAGGAAAATATTAGTTCACATATTGAGTTTTTTTTTCCTTTCCATACATCAATATATGGAGAAGGTAGGTCTCTAACCTGAGGTATATGCCCCATCAACATTTGCCACCACTAGAGTTCCGCCCAAAGTAATAGTATCATTATTATCTGAGACAGTAATGTGAATGAGAATATTTAACTTGAAAAAATATGGCTCTTACCTATCAGTATATCATGATTCAATGCTTCAGCCATTATGGAACTATTACTGTCCAGAGTCATAGTCGGAGTAGACGAAGCACTTGGTGTCTCAGGTAAATAAAAGTTGGTCTCTCTTTGTGAAGCCTGAAGAGGAGCAGGGAGGATGATAGGCACGCACTCAGCACGAGCAAAGTTTGCTTCTTTATTTGAAGTTACATCTGTTGTTGATGGACTTGAAGCTGAACATTTGAATTCAATGTGGCATTAGTAAAATATCTACGGATCAATATATTTTTGTCTATCTACTTTCCACTCCTTCTATCCTTTGTTTTTCTGTTGCTATTGGTAAATCATCTTCATCACTTGACCCGCTTAATTCGGATGGAAAATATTTCCTCTCGACAGTCCCGACTAGGGCTGGGAAAAAATATCGATATATCGATAAATATATCGATATATCGATATATCGAATAACGATATTTAAGTTTTTAAATATCGATATATCTATATATCGATAACTATCGATAAATCTCGATATATCGGTAAATATCGATATATCGATAAATATCGATATATCGATAAATATCGATAAATATCGATATATCGATAAATATCGATAAATATCGATAAATATCGATAAATATCGATAAATATCGATAAATATCGATATTTATCGATATATCGATATATCGATATATCGATATACAGTGTGTCCAAGATAAGGTTGCTCAGTAATGTCTCAGAAGCAACTGTGAGAAAAGGATATCTTTATTCAGAGAATAATGGTCATCATTTTGAACAATTGTTATGAATGTTCCTGTTGGTATTGCCAAAATTAGGTTGTTAAAGTAATTCGTGTAAGAATTCATTATTAATTTGAAGCGCTGCATTGAATAATATGGTGAAATATTTTTTTTCCACTTTTCTTTACTGAATAACTATATAGTCCCTCAATGTTTGACACTAAATGATCAGAAACAAGTGGAACTGATGGCATTTTTCCTTCAGAATTTCGAAAACACATTGAAGATGGCTAAAAATAGTTCGAAACACATCGAAACCACCCATGGTTGAATTCAGAATGAAAAAGTTTTCAGAATTTGTGAAAAAATTATCAGGACTAGGGCTGGGAAAAAATATCGATATATCGAATAACGATATTTAAGTTTTTGAATATCGATATATCGATATATCGATAAATCGATAAATATCGATATATCGATAAATATCGATAAATATTGATAAATATCGATAAATATCGATATATCGATTAATATCGATAAATATCGATAAATATCGATAAGTATCGATATATCGATGAGTATCGATTCAATTCAATTCAATTCAATATATGCTTTATTGCCATAAATATATTCGTATTTGTTGACAAAGCTCGTACATATACATATTTAAATGAAATATAATAAACAATATGCCGTTCAAAATGGGAAGCTGTCTAAAATACATTTCAAAATATACAATCAAAAGCTCGTATAAAGCCTTAGTTAAAAATAAGAAATAAAAAACAACATAGACAATGAATAATAAAACATATAAAATATTGTAATAAAACTCACATGTGAGAGCTCCTATAAAGCTATAGTCAAATATTTCAAGATTATATATATGTTGTATAGAACGATCCTTTTAAGAATTAATCAAGAAGAAAAAACATAATTTCAGAATCTCTGTGAAAAATATTCCTCGAGATTGTATAGTGGAGCCTGAACGAGCAACATTTTCACCTTGGTCCGGAATTTTTTGTTACATGGAATTTCTTTGATGTGATTTGGCAAATGATTGAATATCTTTATTCCGTTATAAATAATGGAGTCTTTGATCATAGTGGTACGGGGTCTTATCAATTTAACTTGTCCGTTCTGTCTTGTGTTGTAATGTGATGAAACAAGCTCTAAAGAAGCTATGTTTTTTTTGTATCAGAGCCGTTGTTTCCAAGATGAATAAACCAACTACTGTGAGGATGCCGCCATTCTTGAATAAATGTCTACATGAGTCTCTTGATTTCGCTCCACACATATATCTTAGGGCACGTTTTTGTAAAACAAAACTTCTCTGGAATAGCTGATCATTGCAGACTCCCCAGAATGCAATTCCATATCTCAAATGAGATTCGATGAGGGCAAAGTATGCAGCTCTAGCAGGCACAAACCCTAATTCTGCAGCAATAGCTCTAACAGCGAAGCATCCAGAGGCTAACTTTCTACACATTAATGTTACATGTTCATCGAATATTAGTTTTTTGTCAATGTATAAACCTAAAAACTTGGTCGATGATTTATCTTCTATGTTATCGCTTCCCATACCTAAATTTGGTAGATTGCAATGAAAGGATAGAATATTCGTTTTCTTTATATTGAGCGAAAGAAGATTTGAATTACACCAGTCTTTAATTACTTCAATATCGTGCATAACAGTTGTGTGCAGTACAGCTTTACTCATATCTTGCCAGAGGATAGTGGTGTCATCAGCAAATAAAGTGATTTTACCTTTGATGTCTAAAAGAACTATGTCATTCACATACAGTAAAAATAGCAGTGGTCCATGAACTGATCCTTGCGGTACACCATGTTTGATATGTGCGGTCTTTGAGACGCTGCATGTTTTAACAGATTGTTGACGACCTGTGAGGTAAGTCTCAAACCATCGGAGCCGACTATCAGTAAAACCGTAACGATGCAGCTTCCGCAGCAGTATTTCATGATTTACGCAATCAAATGCTTTCGAAAAATCACAAAACACTGCCGCAGCAGCTGCCCCTCTGTTTAAGCTCATATACACCTCCTCCATAAAGGAAAACAGAGCATCATTTGTGCTTTTTTTTTGGCTGAAATCCAAATTGATGATCTGTCAGTATTTTAGTGCGTTTCAACAATTTTGATATTCTAATTTTAACTAATTTTTCGATGATTTTTGCAAGAGTAGGTATAAGCGTGATTGGACGATAATTATTTGGATCTAACAAATCACCTCCTTTGTGGATTGGTATAACTAAGGATTGTTTTAGGAATGAAGGAAATACCCCACATCTAAATGATTCGTTTATGAGATAAACAAGCACCGATAATGCAGAATCTGGTAAATTTCGGAAAATATTAGCTGATATTTCATCCACTCCTGACGTGTTTTTCTTCTTTATGTCATATATAACTGACTTCAATTCAACAATATCAGTGTCAGTCAGCTGGAATTCTTCATTAATTTCAATGGATTCTATATTGTCAAGTGGATCCTGAGCAATCTTCACATCATTAGTAATCCGTTCGGCTATAGTGCAATAATGTGTATTGAGAGTATCAGGGTTCAATGAGATTTTTGGGTTTGAATTCGCTTTGCCCCTGAGCTCATTCATTACCTTCCATGTTTCCTTCACAGGATTGCCTGCATTTTCAATTCTGTGTCTGTAATATATTTCCTTCGCTCGTTTCACTGTTTTACGGTAGATATTCCTATATTTCAGATAATAATCATGGAACCATTTTTCGTTCGTGAATTTTCTCATGAAATGCAATGAGCGTAAATTATTGGCAGAAACTTTGATACCTAGTGTTAGCCATGGTTTTTTTATTTTATGTTTTATTTTTTGGAGTGGAAAAGCAAGATTGAAATTTTGTTTAAGTTTGTTATAGAATATTTGGAATTGATTATTATTCATGATATTCCAATTAGTTTGATTGCAATAATTATAGAACTTCTCGAAGTTACTTTTACTGTATAGCCTCCC